CCCCCCCCCCAGGGTGTGTTGGCAGATCGAAGGGATGTGTGGGAGGTCTAAAAAATGTAAGTTGCAACCTGGCAGGCTTAGAGTTACATGTGTTTAAGACCCTCTCCGGTTGATCTTGAGCATGATGCTTTTGAACAAAGCATCCACCACGGCCCCTCCCTGTCGGCGCAAGCTTCCAGACGCCACCAATGAAGCCAAGCGGAAATCCTGATGATACACACGCACAAACTGATGCATCAACGCCAAGGAAAAGGACACAGGTGAGATTTGCAGACGTGAAAAATTGTAACTTACAATTAGTCCACGCAACCAAACCCTCAGATTTTGCAGGGAATACGTGGGTTCTGGGATCAAGTTGGACCTCACAAATTGTAAGTTACATTTTTAGCACATGCCCAACTTCCCAGAATTTCAAGGAACTGGAGTGTCCCCCTGCATTACTTACATTTTAGCACGCTGAAAATCACTCATGTCCGATGTCACGAAGCGCAACCAGGTGGCAAGCCTCTCCCTGTTGTGGCTGATCTTGTGGCTGTTATTTTTTGCTGATGATGACTCATGTGTGTTATCTGCAGCAACAAGCCACACAAAAGATCACAAAAGTAATCAAAGGATATTAAGGGATATTGCAGGATTTGTTACCTTAGTGTGGGGTTTTGTTTTGTTTGGCTTTGTGTGTGTGGCTGATCTTGTGGCTGATCTTATGGCTGTTATTCTTTGCTGATGATGACTCATGCAGCAACAAGCCACACAAAAGTAATTAAATGATGGGGATATTGCAGGATTTGTTACCTTAGTGTGGGGTTTTGTTTTGTCTTGGCTTTGTGTGTGTGGCTGATCTTGTGGCTGATATTCTTGCTGATTGTGACTCATGTTTGCTTTCTGCAGCAACAAGCCACACAAAAGTACTTAAAGGATATTAAGGGATATTGCAGGCACACCCAGAAAAAGCCTACAGGAAAGGGAAAGAGGGCACACCCACACAGACAAACTGATGCCTCCCAATACTCCCAATAAGGAAAGCATAGCCTCCAAAAATATGAGTCATCATCAACAAAGCAGAACAGGAAATGTGTCAAGTTACATGTGTCAAGTTTCAACTTCTAGGATAGGGGGTGTCTAAAAATGTAAGCGCTCCATTGTGCCTCAAAAATGTAACTTACATTTTTGAGGTCATTCCCCGGGAAATCACCCATGAGGCCTCAAAAATGTAAGTTACTTTTTTGAGGCCACCTCAAAGTTAATGTAATTACATTTTTTGAGGCCCTACGGATAGGAAAATGTAACTTACAATTTTCGACGTCCCCCC